CAGCCCAGGATGAATCCTGCCCCTCGCGTCCGGGGGAGGCCGGCCCAGCGGGCGGCCGCGCCAGTGAGGAGGCGCGCTCTTGGTGGGGCTCTGGGAGGAGAGCGCGTTGCAGCCCGGGCTGTGCTGGGCAAACGGCGCCCAACGACGAAGGGGAACGGCTGCTGAGTCGCCGGGGAGCCCGGAGACGGAGGGCGGGCGCGCGCGCGGACCGGACTCCTGCCGGCACCCCGGGAAAGGGGCGGGGTCCCTCCGACGCAATCCCGCGGATACTCCCGCAAGACATTAACCGGTTCAAATCGGGTGCCTCCTGTAAGACGTGGACGGCGAGGAAGGCTGGAGTTTGGGCTAGCATGTAAAAAGGGGAGCCCGGCCCAGGGATCCTGGGAGAGACAGACTTCTGGCCCCCTTGGGTCACTTTGGGAATGAGAAGTACCCAATCCTAAAGCAACCGCCGAGGGCCTCAGAAGTTGCAGCACTGGCCCTGGGCTGGAGGGTGCGCATCCTTCTTGAAGCCTGATGCTGCTGCCCAGCACCCTCCTCTGCTCTGAAGGGAATGCAGCTGTGCCCCAGTCACAGCTGGAGCCCCTCTGTGCCCAGCAGACACCCCCCTGGTAGCTGGATATAGAGAAGAGCTGGACTTTGTGGCGCAGGGAAAGGGGAAACACCCTCTTTGGCCCAGCTGGAGGCCGGTCTGGGAAGACCTCCATAAGGATGCTGGCCGGATGGAGAGAGCTGTCTACAGGGATCAGTGCTATACTTTGTTGCCTCCTCTTCTTCTGGCTCCTGTACTCTCACCCACCCAAGGAAGGTAAGTGCTTCACTGTTTTATACTCTGTCTTGTCACTTTGCCCCACAGTTACACAAGAAAGGAGCCCCTTCCCCTCCTCTTACCTCCCCACTCTATGCACTGTGGGCTAACCAATCTGAACAGACCCACCTGGTGATGAGAGCTGACTGAGCCAGTGGAATTCTCTCAGCCCTCCCCTCGGGCTCTTAACCTGCCCACTCTTCTGGGTGTTTTGCCACTACCAGCTGTTCTGCTTTTAGCACAGCCAGGAGTTCATACAGGGGAATGGATTAAATCTGTCACAGGGAGCTCTCCCCTCCCTTGTGTTATCCTCACAGCACCCCTGTGAGGTAGATTAGACTGAGGAGGAGACTGGCTGGCCCAAGGATGCCCAAGGAACTTCATGGCTGGGTGGAGAGTTGAACACTGTTTTGTCTTTAAAATAAAAGCAGGCAACACCAAGCTAGCCAAACTGTTAAAACTTCAGCTCCTTGGCCACCAAGCCGATCCAGGTTCTTAGACCACCTCTAGTAGAGTCAAATACTTAAATCCAGGGTGTTTTCAGGCTTAAGGGACATTTTGATCTCTCAGACAAAAATGTCAGAAATACTTTATATTTAACAGAGAAAACAGAAATATAGAAACTAGCTAAAAATATTAAAATTTTGGCATAGAAACTGGCCAAGGCACACATGCAGCTTGGGTTACCCTCTAAAGAACACTTACAGTTTCCAAGTTCACATGGAAATGAAGACTCTAAGCTTAGCTAAGATGGCTTCTGTGTGAGTCCAGGAACCTGCAGGGATGCATTTGGTCAGTGACATTCCAACCCAGCCACAGATTTTTTAAAATGAGCCAATTTTTCCTTTCATAAAACACAGTAAAGGCAAAGGTGAGAGTCTGGTGACATCACCTTCAGCCAATCCCCGTCCTCCTTTCCCAGGTATCCTGGAATCAGTTAAATATTTAAATTTCAGAGGCATAAGAGATCATTTCATTTCATCCAGATTTTCATACAGGTAGTAGAATTTAACAAAAAGGGCAACCCATGCAGATTTATATGGCAGTGAGCCCCATTGGACACACTGGGATTCCTTCCAAGTAAATGTGTATAAGATCATGCTGTGACAAGACATTTAAGTAACAAATTTGTCCTATCTGAGCTTTTCAACCTGGTAGTCCATTAAGTGGTGGGGTAAGGTAAAGATTTTTTTCCTAGCCCAGAAAAAACCATTTACACTTGGTAAGCATGAAAGAACCACAGAGAAGCTTTTACAAAAGGAGAGCACTGGACTGGATTCTGAGTTTATTTCCCCCTACATCAAGCTGATTTTCCTTGCCACCTGGTTTGCACTGGGCAGTTCCTGGCTGCAGTGTTGTTTGCAGTGTACTGAGCAACCATATCCCTATGATTCTAATGATACATACAACTAAGGATTCCTCCACAGGCTTTCTGCTGGACTAAAAATCCCTGCAGAGAAGAATAACAGATTCATTGTTTCATTGGTAGCCAGTGGCTGAGAGCCATATCTATTATTTAGTTAGTTAGTTCTTCACTTATATCTGAGGAAGGGAGCTTTGACTCTCAGAAGCTCATACCTTGAGAGTCTTGTTGGTCTCTAAGGTGCTCCTGGACTCATATGTAGCTGATCGTTTATATCCTGCCTTTCTCCCCAGTTGGGGCCCAAGGGGGCTTGCATCATTCTTCGCTCCTCCGTTTTATCCTGCTTGTGAAGTACTGTTAAGCTGAGAGTATGTGGCTGGCCCAAGGTCACCCAGCAAGCGTTTGTGGCAGAGTGGGGATTTGAACCTGGTTCTCCCAGACCCTAGCCTGACAAATTAAATTAACTACTTATCATATGGCATTGTGTGCAGAATAGCCAGGAGATCCTAAAATTGTCTGGCAGTCAGAAGTTCTAACTCTTTAGCATTATGCACCACTAGGTGACCAGCTAGACTTGTTTTTAAGACAAGAGACGTTTCAGAGGTGGTTTTGCCATTGCCTGCCTCTGCATCACGCCCCTGGTATTCCTTGGAGGTCACCCCTCCAAATAATAGCCACGGCCAACCCTGCTTAGCTTCTGAGATCTGACAGGATTGGGCTAGCCTGGGCTAGCTGTCTTAGTATGGCATTGTAACTGCTTCACCATGATAGTTCTGCAGGCTGATCTTTACTTTGAGGATAATCGATGTGAAGGATGGGAGGCATATCCATGTTTATTGCACGGGAGCTTGGGGACTGAAACCTGCCGTTTGCTTGGGGAATTCAGTCTAAAACTTAGGCCAGGACTGGTTGGAACTGAGTATGCATGGGAGAAAAGTATCTCACTCTAGTGCAGAGAGTTTTTCTGCAATTGATTTCCACACACAGTGTTGCCCACTGCCAATATCCCATTTCTCCTTCATTACATCTGTCAGTCAGTCATTTGATATAATTGAATTCTGCCGTTCCTCCAAGGAGCTCAGAGCAGTGTACTTGGTTCTCCATTCCTCATGTTATCCTCACAACAGCCTGTGAGATAGGTCAGGCTGAGAGAGTGACTGCGCCAAGGCCACCCAGCAGGCTTCTATAGTAAAGTGAGGGTTCAAACCTGGGTCTCCCAGATCCTAGTCCAGCACTTTAACTATGACGTCCCGTGATTATCTAAGAACTAAAATACTTAATGTGTCCTAAACAGCACCAGTTTTCTTTTATCTATGAGCTATGGCTAAAAGTGCCAGATTTGGGGGCAAGAGGAACATCTGCATTTAAATATTAAGAAAAAAACAGGTGATGACACTGTGGTATGAACATATGAAGATGCCTTCAGAATACTGGGCTTCCTGGTTCAGAACTGTCTCCTCTAACTGGCAGTGGGTCTCCAGGGTCTCAGGTACAGAGAGGTTTTTCTCAAAATCTGCTATCTAAGGTCCCATAACTAGACTTGCCAGGGATTGAAACTGGGACCTTCTGTATGCAAAGAACATGCTCTACCACGGAGCCTCAGGTCTTTCTGTCAGTTTAAAATATGGATTTACATGATACAGATTCAGGTGTCTGTTAATGGTTAAATAGTTGAAACGAAGGATTAGAAGATCAGCTTCTCTTCCTGCTCTGGGTCTCTGAAACCTGAAGATAGTTTGCAGTGCCTGCTAACTGAGGCCTTAACTACAGGCAGCAGAATGTGGATGGAGGTAAAATACTCTGAGGATGGAATTGACTGCACCACTTCAAACTGTAGGTGGGGAATGCTATTTCAAATGTGTCAGGGTATTTAAAAACTCATTGTAGATACAAGAGCAAGTTAGCAGGCAAAGTGCTGGGTTGCAGAAATGCCCCCCCCCCCCAGGCCTTCATGTGCTAATTTTCTATCTGAGGAACTTTTCCAGTGGCAGAAAAGAGACATCAGCTGAGATAAACTAGGTCTGTTTGGAAGTCCTAGTCCATAAAAAGTTGACATTTCTTTTGATCTCCTAAAATACTATTTTTCCCAAATGAGGACAACTTGGGTCCATCTAGGCTTCTCTGGCTGGCTTATTACAATCTGTTCTCTGAGACCCTTGTTATTCAAGAGAGTGATGGGGTTCACTTCACATCTCACCCATTGGTACTGACAGAAGCCCTGTTCATGTGTTACAGTGAACCCACGTACAACCTGCATGTACATGCGTACACCTGTTTATAAGAGACAGCCGGTGTGTGGTAAACTTCACCACCTGCGGTTTAAATCACATGTTCAGTTGTACATGTATTGAATGTAACAAGAGAATTACTCAGCAAATGTATAAAGCAAATCAAGTGTACGCTGTACATAGAATGTACATGTGTTAATTGTAACGTGTGTGAACAAGGCTAGAGAGGAGTGGCCCAGCAGCAACCAATGTATACACTTTGGTGTGAGATTCAACCCTGCAGCTTTGGTGGATAAAGTTGTGTGGCTGTACACACTGTACACACTGTGCGCACTGTACACACTGCTATCCCCATTCCCTTTTATATATGTTATGTGGTAGGTTTCATTGTGGTTCCATGTCTTCTAGTTCAGAGACTCCCCCTTTCAGATGCCAGCTTCCAGAAGGAGCTTCTCTGTCACAAGAATAAGTCAATTTGTGTCTGTTTTCATCGTAACTGAAAAAAACTGATTCTTTTTATAGGTGAAACACTCTTTGTAAAGCTCCTCTGACTGACAATGTGCCACAGTAACTGAGGTACAGGGAATTCCACATCCAGCATGATGTTTCTCCCGCTACTTCCTTTCTCCTAGCTCACACTGTATAACAATGCTGTCTATCCAGAAACTGCAGAAGAAATCCTGTGCTGATGTTCACTCACCCAGAAACATAAAAAGCACTGTCAGCTTAAGTGTTCCACTGAGAGCTCCCAAGACAGGCCTCCTGCAAACAAGGATGTGAGGGGAGCACTTTGCAGATCCATGTGGATCCATCCATAATGTCACAATTAGCAGCTGTTAACTAAATGCTCATGCAGTTGTTCCAAGTGCCTTAGCCAGTCAAAGAGCAACTCATGGCCGGCCTCAAAGGACAAGACCCTGCCCAGTTCTCAGCTGCTTTGTGAGGGCCCTAGGGGTGTGCTGGGAGGCACAAGGCCAGTTGCTACACAGCTTCTTTTGCTGTGCAGTGAGTGTAAAGAAGCCCAGGTGGGAATTACTCATTTATTTATTTACTTCATGTATACCCGGCCTTTCTCCCCAGTGAGGACCCAAAGCAACTTAACATTCTTCTCCTCGCCTCCATTTTATCCTCACAACAACCCTGTGAAATAGGTTAGGCTGACAGTACATAACTGGCCCAAGGTCACCCAATGAGCTTCCATGGCAGAGTGGGATTTGAACCAGGGTCTCCCAGATCCTAGGTCCTGTGCTCTAACTACTACATCACTCATTGGAATGTCATCCAGGGCCCTTTCTAAAAACAAACCTCTAGGCCAGTGGTTCTCAACCTTCCTAATGCCAGGACCCTTTAATACAGTTCCTCATGTTGTGGTGACCCCCAACCATAAAATTATTTTCGTTGCTATCATA